CACACACACACACACACTCACACACACACACACACACTCACACGTCTGTTGGCTCTTGTTGTGTGAGTGAGATGTGATGTGACAGCAGCTGCTGGCAGACGATTACTGGACATATGCACACCATCACATGATCAACATGCTCTGTGTGTGTGTGCTATGGGTTGGTTAGCTCAGGATATAGTTAGGGTGTCCATGTACATTATTTCATATGTATTTACATCATGGTAGTTTGTTCATCTGGGTTTGGTAATTAATTTGGGACTTTAACAACATCAGTCAGATGCAACAGTATACTTTACTCTAAATACTTAAGGGGGATCGTGCTTTTTCGGTGGCAGCACCTAAGCTGTGGAATAATTTGCCATTGTATGTAAGATCAGCCTCCTCTTTTCAGGTTTTTAAATCATCACTTAAGACTTATCTTTTTAAATTGGCTTATGGTCTGCAGTAAATTCTGTCTAATATTTGATTATGTGTGATGTTATCTTTGTCATAAATTTGTGATTTGTTTTATATGCTTAGTTGTTTTATGTATTTATTAAATTTTTTGTACAGCACTTTGGTCGACTCTGTCGTGCTATATAAATCTGTAAAACAAAACTAAACTAAACTAAATATATCTTCCTCAGTGCGTCGTAACAGCTGCTCGATCTGCATTCTGTCGCTGTGACTGAATTCAGAACAACATACTAGCATTTGAGCATACTACACTGACTGATTCTGCTGTATAAAGACATTCAATTAAATTCAATTCAAGTGTATTTGTATAGCGCTTATCACGATACAAATTGTTGCAAAGCAACTTTACAGAAAATTAAGTTTCTACAATATTTAGTAGTAGCTTATCAGTGGTGACTGTCAATTAATGTACATATGGCAGAAATGTACGGAAAAATCAATTAAAGACGTAATCAAACAGACGATGAACACTATTATTATATGATGCAATCAAGCTTATAGCAGAATGTGGTAGTTGTGTATGTTGTTTCAGGGTTGGCATCATCTGAGGTCCTCTGAGGGGTTGCATCATCTCTTCTCAGGTGTTCTGGATCCAGACTGAAGCTTGTGTAAATCCTAGTTACCACGGGATGTTAATCCCAGCAGAAACAGAGAAACACATAGAGACATAACATTTAAAGACATGACAGGAACAGTAGGAGCAGTAGACCAGTCATCCACCACGTGTTTCCTGTTTGTCAGGTGTGTTTGTTGATCAGCGCCACCTACTGTACATGGGTGAATTATTCAGCCTGAATTCATGTTGGTCTGGTGTAAACACACCTTCTTAAAGCAATTAGTGTCATATTATCATCTCACGCTTGGTTTGAATAAGCCACACACACAATTGAGTGAGTCCTCTATTCTGAAAACACACACTTATCCACCCATCCATCTATCTGTCCATCCATCCATCCATCTGTCCGTGTATCAGCGGAGTGGCATGTCGAGCGCGGCAGGCGTTTCGGGAGGAAGTTAATTGGGTGTAATCAAGCTTAGCTGAGCGTGCGTGTGCTGCCAGCGAGATTGCATGAAACTCACTGCTGCTAAAACACATTTGTGAAATGAATGATAGCGGCACAGAACAGCCCAACATCCCATAATGAGCAATGAGAAGAATGATGAGCACAAAATAATAACTGACTCCTGTAAGTATGTTGACAATATTCCCACAGAAACTCTTTAATTGAATCTGCTTCCCTGCAAGAGACGATGTTTGCATTCCTCTCTCTCTCTCTCTCTTTCTCTCTCTCTCTTTCTCAGCTGTATCTCCTCAATTAAACTGCTGACATTTTCCCAGATCTGAAATGAAAAAGCTCTCGGTTGCCCACAGGATGTTTTTACAGCTTTTATGCCGTGTATGAAGGGACTGTGATCTGCCAAACAAACATCATCAGTTTTTATGTTTTTCCCTGCAAGAGACGATGTTTGCATTCCTCTCTCTCTCTTTCTCTCTCTCTCTTTCTCTCTTTCTCAGCTGTATCTCCTCAATTAAACTGCTGACATTTTCCCAGATCTGAAATGAAAAAGCTCTCGGTTGCCCACAGGATGTTTTTACAGCTTTTATGCCGTGTATGAAGGGACTGTGATCTGCCAAACAAACATCATCAGTTTTTATGTTCTGAAGCAGACATATAATAATCACAAAATACCCTCAATCGCCATCTTATTTGACGTTTTGGCACTGAGAACTTTTTTTTCTGCAGCAACTGGTCTCTCGTGAGCTGGTTCTTGTTTTAGTCCTGGTCTTTCTGGATCACATCAGGGGCTGGATTCATGAAACTTCTTGAGAATAAAGAAGAGTAGAATATTTAGTATTCCCAAAAAAACTTCTAAAGAATGTTATTTTCTTTTGTTCTTAAAACAAAATGTAGTAAAAATTCGAATTTTTCTTAAAAATCAGCATAAATAACTAAGTTAGGAAAGGTAAGATGATTAATGAATTAATGAATAAATGGTTTGGTTTGTTTCAGATGTGATCTGCACACTTTCTTGTCTTTTCTTTTAGGTCATGTTAGTCAAATGGTGTTCAGCAAGAAATTTCTCAAGAATTTTTAAATAATTGTACTTAGAATATATTTTAGGAAATGTCTTGAGATAATTTCTTAAGCCAGTTGTTCTGAATCCAGCCTCAGTTCCTGAAAGCCTCTGCTGATGCTTCATTAGATCCTTCAGAATGATGTTCAGCGGAGAAACAGTCAGTGATGTGACTCACATTTCTTTATGAAAATCAGCTCACGCTCCACAAGAAAAGAGAAATTCTGAAGATTCGAGTCATGGGTCTGAATTTAATCTGTCTCTCCCCAAACGAATGTCCCGTTCTGAGATGTTGACAAGAGCTTTCATTTCATGTGTAATGAACATACATGCAGAAGTAATCCAGTGCGCACACACACACACATACACACACAAACACACACATGCTGTACAGTATTATAATGAACAGAAATATTTAACCATCTTTCCTTTCACACAGAAAAAGCATCATGAGGTTCTTTACGCTGCTACAATGAGCCTTAATTAGTCCCCCCCGCCTACTGGCTGCCACGGCAACCAGCCCCCTCCCGTTGCCATAGCAACAGACAACACTTTAAGTGTTTTTTTTCTGTCAGTGTTTGTAAATGTCACCTGACACCAGCTGCACCAGCGGCATCTCCGAAAGATCCCTGCCAAAACTCATCAGGGATTCCTGCGTTCCTTCACCCGTTCCCCCTCCACACACTCAATATACAGCACGAGCGTCCGGCTGAACGCATCCTTCACAGAGCAGCTCTGCTGAGATTTGTTAGGATTTAGATTTGACTCTCTGTCCAACAGGCTTTGACATTTTCAGCGTGGTAAATGAGTCGTTGTGTTTTATTTCGGGTATTTGGTGCTCAGAGAGAGAGAGAATGCAAGGGATAAATAATGCGACATGCTTCTCTTGGTGTTAATTAGCTGCTGTGCTGTTTCTTTAGTAAATAAAACATTGAGGGAGACACAATTAGCCGAGCCTGTCGAGGTCTCAGCATCTGTCTGCAGCAGCTGTTTCAGACAGACAGAACGTGGGATAATGGAGGAGGAGAGGAGAGATATTGGACGAAAATCCACAGGGACATTTTGCTAGACCTATCAGATCACATCAGGAATGGTGCAGAATCTGTTTCTAAATGCCAAATACAAATGTGTGGAGTTTTGGACAGTCTAGAATTTGTAATTCATTAGCAGCATGTGACATCAAGCTCGGTTTTTTTTAACACACAGTAAGCGCATATACAGTAATGCGCTTGTATTGTAAGCATATGGAGCAAGGCCTTCTAGCAGACGTAGTTTTGTTCAAGCTCTTGCGTGAGTTCTCCAGTAGAAATGTTTATGTGAGCTGTCATATGAGTCATTTGGACTGTTCTCGATGGATGATGGTCTGCTTACACACACACACACACACACACACAGACACACACTCACACTCACACAGACACACACACAGACACACTCACACACACACACACAGACACACATACACACACACACACACACACACAGACACACACACACAGACACTCACACACACACACACACAGACACACACAGACACACACTCACACAGACACACACACACAGACACTCACACACACTCACACAGACACACACACACAGACACTCACACACACACACACACAGACACACACACACACACACACACACACACAGGCCCTGATCTGTGTCTGACTGTGTTATTTCATGTATTAAGGCCTCATGTTGTGGTGTCAGTATTAACAGTGTGTTCTCTGTCTCTGCAGTGGACGGCTGTACGGATTGGTCTGTGGACTACCTGAAATACAAAGTTCTGCTCGGGGAGCCTGTGAGGATTAAATGTGCTTTATTTTATGGATACATTCGTGCGAATTACACACATGCTCAGAGTGCCGGACTCAGTCTGATGTGGTACAAAAGCACCGGCCATGGAGACTTCGAGGAACCCATTTCATTCGACGGGAGCCGGATGAGTAAAGAGGAGGACTCCATCTGGTTCAGACCGGCCGAGTTACAGGACGCTGGACATTACTCATGCGTGTTGAGGTATGAGCTGCTTTCTTCCTCTGTGTGTGTCTGTGTGTGTGTGTGTGTGTGTGTGATCTCATGTTGAATGTTTACCTGAAGCTGATCTGTATATCTTCACACTCATCCATAAGCATCATGATTCTCTGTTTTTAAATGTAAATCTCGATCCCCAAACAAATGTTTGTGTTTACTGGATCAGTAGTGAATCAGATGTGAGCAGATCTACTCATGAGGTGCATATCATCTCAAAAACATTACTAAGGTCATCAATAACATTCGTTGATTAGATGATGACGCAATATAGTGAATGAAATAGAAATAATAATAATTATTATTATTATTAGTGTTAGTATTATTATTACATTGAGACATACATTCTACTGTACAATAGTAATATATTTCTGTCATAATTTCTTCAAGTTACACCAAACTTTTATGTTGGCAGTTTGTGGTGAAGATCTGTGAGTCTCAATGTGGATTTGACGGTGGCTTTTCTCAAAGTAAACACTGAAAAGCTGCTGAATTGACTCTCAGAGCAGCTCTGAAGATGAAGTTCATGTCTTCATGCCCTCATTTAATGAGACACTGCAGGCAACACACCGCAGGATTCATATTTAAATAGTCTTTTCTTGTTTTAATATTCAAACACAATAGACCGTATCACGATTTAAGTGAACTGACCATTGACTTTTGATTTATTCATCCAAAATCAGATAAATTCCATGACATTCCGTATTATACAGTGAATTCCATTTTTATGAATGCATTCTGTGATTCCGTCCATGTTTTCCACATCTCAGGAATCACAGAGCCGAGGAGTTCTTTTGACAGGCTTTCTGAATTGTGGTCTCTCTCATTATCAATCTGTTGTTGTATAATGAGCTGTTTTGGGGGATTTGATTTGGGCTGATGGTCACATCCATTTACAGTACTCAGGAGCAACACTGAGTATCAATAAGACCTCATCCATCCGTCCTGTTAGACAGACAGAGACAGAGGAGAATGGACTTGTGTCTGGTGTATTAATACAGAGACTCATCAAAACAAATGACAGCTGTGAGTGAAGTACATAATGAAGAGTGATGAGATCAGATCACACTCACAGCTCTGGCCAGAGCACCTCGTGATGCCTTCGTTCTACTCTTTCTGATACCACACTTTTACCATTTATGATGTGTGTTCAATAAAAAGGTTTCATGCATTTTCAATTCAGGTCACGTCTCTAGACTAAATGAACGATTCGAGAGTTGGTTCTTCTGATGTGATGATGTTTGCGAACAGCAGCAGTTCCGCTGCAGAGGTCAATCCACCAGAAACAGGGAAAGCGCACCATACGTTTGCATGTTGTAGTGCGTCATTAACCTCGCAGGTAAAGGCCGTTTCCTGTCAATGGCTCATTAGGTTCCCTCATTAGGAGGAGAAGATGTTTGAGTTTCTCTCTGAACTGAGATAGCCTTTGATCTGAAGCGAAACACTGTAACAAATGATGAAGAATTTCAGTGGAGTTTAAAGGAGCATCACGTTCATCACAACGCAAGCGTATTACTGTAACTCACTCCCGCTGCTCTAATATCTCCATCAGATCACATGACCATCAGGAACAGACCATCATTGAGTTTTAAATTGATTAGAATCGTTCTCTCTGCCACTGTACAGATATAGAGAAGCTTTAGCTTTTGGTATGTTATTATGTATTATTCTGTTCATAATCTTTTTTCCCTCAGTGTTGTTGCTCCTGCCACCTACTGGACACACTGCCAGCTGCACACTAGTTAATATCAGGAAGAAGCTGCTGCTAGAGACACATCTCTGAAATCTATAGATCAGGCACCTTATTGATCAAATCGTCACAATGCCACATACTGTATAATGGGTCTAGATCAGTGTTTGCCAACCTTTTTTTCAGGGGATCCCTATTTTAACAAAATTTTGTAACGACCCCCATTTTTTAAATGTATCTCATGATAAAACAGCGCTGCTTTACCCCACATACGCACGACCAGAAGCAGCGGAAGCGCTCGACTGTGGCATAATAAAAGCTCCGCTGCTTTACCCCACATACGCACGACCGGAAGCAGCGGAAGCGTTCGACTGTGGCATAATAAAAGCTCCGCTGCTTTACCCCACATACGCACGACCGGAAGCAGCGGAAGCGTTCGACTGTGGCATAATAAAAGCTCCGCTGCTTTACCCCACATACGCACGACCGGAAGCAGCGGAAGCGTTCGACTGTGGCATAATAAAAGCTCCGCTGCTTTACCCCACATACGCACGACCGGAAGCAGCGGAAGCGTTCGACTGTGGCATAATAAAAGCTCCGCTGCTTTACCCCACATACGCACGACCGGAAGCAGCGGAAGCGTTCGACTGTGGCATAATAAAAGCTCCGCTGCTTTACCCCACATACGCACGACCGGAAGCAGCGGAAGCGTTCGACTGTGGCATAATAAAAGCTCCGCTGCTTTACCCCACATACGCACGACCGGAAGCAGCGGAAGCGTTCGACTGTGGCATAATAAAAGCTCCGCTGCTTTACCCCACATACGCACGACCGGAAGCAGCGGAAGCGTTCGACTGTGGCATAATAAAAGCTCCGCTGCTTTACCCCACATACGCACGACCGGAAGCAGCGGAAGCGTTCGACTGTGGCATAATAAAAGCTCCGCTGCTTTACCCCACATACGCACGACCGGAAGCAGCGGAAGCGTTCGACTGTGGCATAATAAAAGCTCCGCTGCTTTACCCCACATACGCACGACCGGAAGCAGCGGAAGCGTTCGACTGTGGCATAATAAAAGCTCCGCTGCTTTACCCCACATACGCACGACCGGAAGCAGCGGAAGCGTTCGACTGTGGCATAATAAAAGCTCCGCTGCTTTACCCCACATACGCACGACCGGAAGCAGCGGAAGCGTTCGACTGTGGCATAATAAAAGCTCCGCTGCTTTACCCCACATACGCACGACCGGAAGCAGCGGAAGCGTTCGACTGTGGCATAATAAAAGCTCCGCTGCTTTACCCCACATACGCACGACCGGAAGCAGCGGAAGCGTTCGACTGTGGCATAATAAAAGCTCCGCTGCTTTACCCCACATACGCACGACCGGAAGCAGCGGAAGCGTTCGACTGTGGCATAATAAAAGCTCCGCTGCTTTACCCCACATACGCACGACCGGAAGCAGCGGAAGCGTTCGACTGTGGCATAATAAAAGCTCCGCTGCTTTACCCCACATACGCACGACCGGAAGCAGCGGAAGCGTTCGACTGTGGCATAATAAAAGCTCCGCTGCTTTACCCCACATACGCACGACCGGAAGCAGCGGAAGCGTTCGACTGTGGCATAATAAAAGCTCCGCTGCTTTACCCCACATACGCACGACCGGAAGCAGCGGAAGCGTTCGACTGTGGCATAATAAAAGCTCCGCTGCTTTACCCCACATACGCACGACCGGAAGCAGCGGAAGCGTTCGACTGTGGCATAATAAAAGCTCCGCTGCTTTACCCCACATACGCACGACCGGAAGCAGCGGAAGCGTTCGACTGTGGCATAATAAAAGCTCCGCTGCTTTACCCCACATACGCACGACCGGAAGCAGCGGAAGCGTTCGACTGTGGCATAATAAAAGCTCCGCTGCTTTACCCCACATACGCACGACCGGAAGCAGCGGAAGCGTTCGACTGTGGCATAATAAAAGCTCCGCTGCTTTACCCCACATACGCACGACCGGAAGCAGCGGAAGCGTTCGACTGTGGCATAATAAAAGCTCCGCTGCTTTACCCCACATACGCACGACCGGAAGCAGCGGAAGCGTTCGACTGTGGCATAATAAAAGCTCCGCTGCTTTACCCCACATACGCACGACCGGAAGCAGCGGAAGCGTTCGACTGTGGCATAATAAAAGCTCCGCTGCTTTACCCCACATACGCACGACCGGAAGCAGCGGAAGCGTTCGACTGTGGCATAATAAAAGCTCCGCTGCTTTACCCCACATACGCACGACCGGAAGCAGCGGAAGCGTTCGACTGTGGCATAATAAAAGCTCCGCTGCTTTACCCCACATACGCACGACCGGAAGCAGCGGAAGCGTTCGACTGTGGCATAATAAAAGCTCCGCTGCTTTACCCCACATACGCACGACCGGAAGCAGCGGAAGCGTTCGACTGTGGCATAATAAAAGCTCCGCTGCTTTACCCCACATACGCACGACCGGAAGCAGCGGAAGCGTTCGACTGTGGCATAATAAAAGCTCCGCTGCTTTACCCCACATACGCACGACCGGAAGCAGCGGAAGCGTTCGACTGTGGCATAATAAAAGCTCCGCTGCTTTACCCCACATACGCACGACCGGAAGCAGCGGAAGCGTTCGACTGTGGCATAATAAAAGCTCCGCTGCTTTACCCCACATACGCACGACCGGAAGCAGCGGAAGCGTTCGACTGTGGCATAATAAAAGCTCCGCTGCTTTACCCCACATACGCACGACCGGAAGCAGCGGAAGCGTTCGACTGTGGCATAATAAAAGCTCCGCTGCTTTACCCCACATACGCACGACCGGAAGCAGCGGAAGCGTTCGACTGTGGCATAATAAAAGCTCCGCTGCTTTACCCCACATACGCACGACCGGAAGCAGCGGAAGCGTTCGACTGTGGCATAATAAAAGCTCCGCTGCTTTACCCCACATACGCACGACCGGAAGCAGCGGAAGCGTTCGACTGTGGCATAATAAAAGCTCCGCTGCTTTACCCCACATACGCACGACCGGAAGCAGCGGAAGCGTTCGACTGTGGCATAATAAAAGCTCCGCTGCTTTACCCCACATACGCACGACCGGAAGCAGCGGAAGCGTTCGACTGTGGCATAATAAAAGCTCCGCTGCTTTACCCCACATACGCACGACCGGAAGCAGCGGAAGCGTTCGACTGTGGCATAATAAAAGCTCCGCTGCTTTACCCCACATACGCACGACCGGAAGCAGCGGAAGCGTTCGACTGTGGCATAATAAAAGCTCCGCTGCTTT